TTTAGGGTGTAGGGTTTATGGTTTATGGTTTGGGTTTGGGGTTTAGGGTTTAGGGTGTAGGGCTTATGGTTTAGGGTTTAGGGGTCCCCGCTCGTATTTCTCGAGGCCAGTGATCACAGCTATACCCTGAACCCTAACCCTAATCCCTAAACCCTAAACCCCTATAAACCCTACACCCTAGTACATTAACACCTAAACCCTAAACCCCTATAAGCCCTACACCCTAGTACATTCATCCCTAAACCCTAAACCCCTATAAACCCTACACCCTAGTACATTAACCCATAAACCCTAAACCCCTATAAGCCCTACACCCTAGTACATTCATCCCTAAACCCCAAAACCTATAAACCCTAGCATGATCGGCGGTTGACCTGCTCTTGCTTCGGTCGGACGCAGGGGGCTTGCCCCCGTTGTGCTGCAGAGTGTGTTTAGGAACCCAAAGAGGACATAGGCATAAGCATTTTATAGGGATATCCCTACCGTATTGGGCCTCATTATGAGGGTGTTTATCTGGGATATCCCTACTGTATCCTAATTTTTGCTTCTGTGCTCTTTGGGGGCCCTCTGTGTGGTAATCCGACGCCCGGAACCGGCCTTGGAGCGCTTGAGACGCACGGTGGCCACACGCACGGCGTAGGCCTCGTCACTCAGTTTGGGAGCTTGAGGTCTTCACTAAACACGGCTTGGAGCTCGGGGTTTAGGGTTGAAGGATCTCAAGCTTCATGTGGGAACCCTAAACCCTGAACCCTAAACCCGGGATTTTGGCTTTAGAGTTGATGGCTCTGGGCTTTAGGAAAGTCGCGCTTCGGGCTTCGAGGTCCTGAGGTCCAGGGCTCTGGGTTCTGAGAGTGCCCAAGACTGCAGAACACTTTTGCCTCCAACTCAAACGTCCCAATCTTTGCACTCTCTAAGCGATCTATCGAGCTTGTGGCGACTGACTGTGACTTCTTCGATCTCGACTTCGTTGTCCTCAGAAAACATGAGTGGTCGGCCAGCGGGTAAGCTGTTGTCGGCATCCTCGGATGCCACACGAACAATTGCACGAAGCAGTGGCGCATCACTGCGGCTCCAGGAAGGCACATGCCTGAGCATATACTCCCTAAACGACCAGAAGCCGTCTCGAACTTCTCTTGGATGGGTTCTTCTTGGCTGCAGCGATATCTCACTGAGCTCGTGCCTTATCTCAGCCAGCGCGTAGTCTCCTGAACGGTCTAGGCGCACCAGCAAAAAGGCCATTTCGAGCTCAGCAAAACTCGATTGAATCTCTAGCTTCCTGTCTTCGACCATGGTATGGTTTGTATCATCCTCTGTCATCAGAGCTGCTTGTAGCCAGTCTCCATTCTGCAGTTTCACGTCGAGGACCGTCTGCTTCTCATCAAGGATGCATGCATCGGTCGTTACGAGGTGCTTCATCATACGCTTCAGTGTGCTTTCTGCCGCGAGGCGCACGTCCAGCAAGGTGTCCTCAAGGTTGACATTGACCGTGACGCTCAGGCCAGCTAGCGTCGATACTTCTATCTGCAGAGCCATGCATCCGAGATCTTGTGTCAAAGGGTAGCCAATGCAAAGACGAGACTTCAAGAGCGTACCTAGACGGTGCTGCGCATGATGGTAAGATGATGCATCTGACAAGATCAGGCCATTGGTCGTGTTTGATTTGTGCAGGGGCAAGAGAGCCACAACTTTTTCAACAGAAGCCCAACAGAAGCCTGAAGAGGTGGGCTGATACATGCTGACACCGGGCGCGCAGTTCAAAAAGTCTTCAAGTCAGCACCCGCATCCGAACCGAATACCCAAGGACGGCAATTGCCAAAGGTTCCGCCTGCCGCAGCGTTGGAACAGATCCCACACCCTATAGATGCCCAAACCCTAAACCCTAAACCCGGAACCGTAAACCCTAAACCCTAAACCCGCCCCGGCCCGTCTCAGACGCCTTGGCTAATGTAGGAGGCTTCATAATTAGAACAGGGCCTCGGTGAATATTATCGTGGAAGTATGGTAAGCAATCACACGGAGTACTGTTGGTAATTGTTCAGGCTTCTATGAGACATCATCGTATAGATCGTATCTGGGGGGCATGCTGATTCTATGAAGACTCATCGGCTGTTGTAGTACTCATGTTTTGGGCTAAAAACAGCCAGAGAAGCTTGCAAGAGCAGTATATTATCGGACTACAGGTATCCTGTTCGGGGTTATCTTGATCATGACGCTACTTACTGTCTACTTGTTAAGTTGCTTGATCCTTCAAGCATTGGCGGAGTAGGGAAGGCGAAGATGCGCACTGATCCTTTCTAGCTCGGAATCGAAGGCGCAGGAGGATGCTGGCCACTGGCCTGCGCCTGAACCCCTCACCCTACTGAACAATGCAGAAGAAACCCTCTCTAACCCTACACCTGAAACTCGAACCTGCTCCTCCTGCCTCTTCCGTGGGCATGTTCACACCATGGACCGCCAGCAGCCTTTTGATTGGAATCGAAGTCCTGGCGCGATTCCAAAGAAGCGATTCCGAATTTAGTGTTGAGGGCTTGGCAAGAAATTCAAAGAGAACAAACCCAGAGAAAGAATCCTAGACCCGGCAAAACCCAAGAACCATCAACCCTAGAATGCTAACATGCAAACTTCGAAACATTGAACCAGATGCTTACACCCTGTGTCCCAAACCCCGTTAGGCCCTGCCGCGCCGAAACTCAACACAAGGCAGCACCCAGGTCCTTTCACCACGAAAATCGTACAGGGAATCGTCCCTGTAATGAGTTTCCAGCGTCTGCTGTATGCCTTCGCACTTCTCAATACCTCGGATCCGGAATCGCTTGCGGAGGGGAAATTCAAACACTTCGCGCTTTGTTGTGCATATCACGTAAGCAACAGCATCCAAGGACCGAAGGACGTGCTGCCAAACCCTGATCCACCAAAGGGTTTGGGGTTTAGGGCGCAAACTACGGCGGATGCTCCAAATTCTGCATGAAGTTGAACCTCCCCACGGTCCCCCGGCTGCCCCTAATCTTAGTGTTGATCCAGGGGCGACTGCGCGAATGCCTAAACTTCTGCATGAGTGGCTGCAACATTGAAATTAAGGGGTTTAGGGGGTAAGATTTAGGTTTAGGGGTTTTGCGGGGAAGTAGGGCTAGCGCGACATGGGATATGTGCGATGTTGTAGATCATGCGGGATCTTGGGCAAATACAGTATCACCAAAGTACGGGCCTGATAACTAGAGTAGGGCTTTGGCAGGTCTTATAGCAAACCCATCTAACAAGGAGCCCTGCGGAATAGTATTCACAATTGGTCAGGCTTCTATACGAAATAAGAAACCCCTAAACCCTAAACTCTAAACCCTAAACCCTAAAACCCTAAAACCCTAAGACCCTAAATCTCTAAAACCCTAAGACCCTAAATCTCTAAAACCCTAAACCCTAAAGCCAGGGAGTCCAGATGCGCAGCAGCCCGCGAAGTTCTAGCGGCTCGTAGGCCACCCCTGATCGACTACCATGCCGAAAGGGAGATTCCGTCTCTGCCACATTCCTTGGCTCCGCTTAGGTAGGATTTAGGGTTTAGGGT